GTGTCTCCTTATTTCAGAAACAATGTCCTAATTAAATTTAATGCTGAGCTAAATAATGCTATTTTTTAAAGTCTATATAGAACAAGTTACAAAACATTCACTCATTATTCAATCATTCAGTTATTCTGTTTCCTGGATAAGAGGCACTGTGCTAACAAAATGAAAAATGAGTTAGTTCTAGATACCACCTCCATAGTAACAGTAACAATAATCATACTCATGATGGTAGCTAATCTTTTGCTGAATATCTGATATATATGAAAAATTACTTATCCAAGTGCTCTGATCTTTAAAATAACTGTCTAAGGTGGGTTATAGTGTTATCCTCACTTTATACCTAAAAAAAATGAGGCACAACTAGATTAAGTAACTAGTCTAAAATCACAGAGTTAGGAAATCAAATAGGACAGATTCTACTTCAGGTACTCTATCCTCAGGTCCTCTAACTGTTTTTGCAAGAAAGTTTAGGCCTGAGACAGGAAAGGAAATTTAAGCTAGATTCTAATCAAGTACAATTTTACAAAGCGTTCAAAGAGGTAAAGATTATTTCAGGTTGAGCAAAGTGTCATAATACAAAATATGCTATGAAAGGAATATTATGTTGCATGCTAACGGAAAGGTATAGACATACAGATGTGGTGAAAAAAGATGGGCCAGTAACATTTAACAGTTTGGTGAGGCACTAAAAGGTTTTTAAGCAGAAAAGTAGCACATCGTATTTCTAACTAAAAAGAAAACGTGGGCAATAGGCAAAAATAAAGTGCTTGGTGAGAGGGGACAAGAAGTCATGAATAATGGGCCGGTGCCTACTGTAACATAGGAGAGTCAAAAACTATTGGTACCGGAGATGCTACTTTATACATGCATGGGTTTATTTTAAACAAAAAACATATAAACATCTCTGCACAATACGTGGATAGCTGCAGATAAGTCCTCTCAGTAATATACTTCTCTAAGGTACCTTCAAAATTAAAAATGGCAATTTGCTGGGTCATTTATATTCAAGGCAGAGGTGCGGGCTCAAAAAGTTATGCAACTGGATTTTGGGATCCGCAAAGGGGTAATCTTGGTATATTTTCTCGAAAGATACAGGACATTCAAAGGGAGTTTTCAGAAAACTTAAAAGTGCATTGGTGAGAAAAAAAGTCCATTAAAGTGGCACTGAGGATTTACACACACACACACGCTTGCTCGCTCGCACACCACACACACACACCTATCATGACAATGCACCTGTTTATTTTTTTTCTGAGGGTATCAAGGGTTGTCCTACTAGGATTTCACTGGGAAACCTTATCCCATCCACCCTACAGTCCTGAATTTGCCCCTTGGACTTCTTTTTGTTCCTGAAACAGACCATTGAAACAAGACATCACTTAAGGCCCTCGAGGGTATAAACCGAAGAGTTCAGAATTATCCAGGGAAGGGTGAGTGATGAAAATACAGTCTTCAGAAGTGGATAGACATAGATGGTGGATATGTTGAGAAGCAAGAGCTTCACATTTTGATATTTTAACAAAAGCTGCTGTGATTTTGTGGCAACTTTGTGACTTACCTTTATACAAAATTAAGAAATGATATTCAAAGGTTCTTAAATTTTGTTGGGTTATGGATTGCTTGGAAAGTATAAAAGAAGTAAAAAGGAAACACAGACTAATGGATTTAAATATATGAAATAAACTATATTGAACTGAAGGAAACCAATTGTGTTGAATGTTATTAAAGTGCTATCAAATTTATAATTAAACATTAATTTTTAAATGTAAAGTTTAAAGTGATGAACATAAGCAATATTCCAAGATATATTTCCAGATGCATATTTCATATAAGACTATATACAATCATAAGCAATTTTATAGGCAACAAAATCATAATTATTGGTAACAATATTGTGATACATTATAATTATTACTAATGAAAATGTTTCATTTAAATAAAGAAAGTAAATATAAAGGTGTTTTTTTTTCTTCATTTTTTCCTATATAGGTTCACAGACCCACCCACCCCAAGTTAAAAACTCCTTTCCTAGACTAAGGTTCAGAAAATAAAATAGAAGTTTAAAGAGATATTTAGAAAGCATATGTTTAAAATAAATAAACATCCTTCACTAAGTAAAAAACATGACAGATAAAATAATCCTAAACTGGATTGACTCCAGAGAATAAAAAGGAAATACCCTATATCAACTGTTATTTAACAGTTTCCTTTACTGTGCTAAAAAGAGCACAAACAAACAACGGTAATACTGCCAGAGCATGATTCATTTTCAAGATGAATCCCTCCCTGTTCAAAGGTTTACATTGTTCTTGACCAGCATCAGACTGTTTAAGCCACACAAACTGTAAATACATCATTTTTAGAACTAACCAACAACAATCCCCATATTGTTTTGACATGAAAGGTACAAGAAGATCATCAAGAAAAATGATCCCCCACCCCCCAGAAGAATTTATTTCAAAGGACAGCACTGAAGCTGCAGCTCAGGGAGAGGGACATGCTGATCAGAGCACATGGGAGCAAATGGAGGGGGAGGAAGAGAGAGTGGAGCACATCCTGGCCCACCAAGCCTTGAAGACGATGTTCCTCCTCAGAGCAGCCAATCCACAGAGAAGACCACATGGCCGGCCCCACTATGAGACACAACATCCCTCACTGACCCATAGCTCTACAGGGGACAACACTGGAGACACAGTGTGGGAATTCTGCCCTATCTGATCCCAACACACCAAGGCAAAACAATAAGGGTGTGCAACAGAATAGCAAGGGGAACAGAGCAATGAAGTCCCCAGGGAATGCCAAAAATAGACTTTGGGGCCAGGACTTGGCACCCCATCAGACTCGACTGGAAAACACCCCTAATGGCCAACAAACAGTCCTTGAAATAACAAAAAAAAAAAAAAGATCATCACTCTAATATCTGTTCTTCAAAAGTGAAAAAAATAAGATTAATGGGATTAAATCTGGAGATAATACAAAAATGTTAACACACGTCAAAGGAAATCTTACAATTACGTACTGGGATATTGTTAAAAAGCCTAGAGTATCCCACCTGAGATTTGTACAATTAGCTTTCTATAAATACACGAGGAATGGATTTGTTGGATAAAGTTATCAATATTATTCGTCAATTATAGCAAATGTACCGAAGGAATGCAAGATGTTAACTAGAGAAACAAGTAGGGGGAGGAGGGATCCATTATGCCTCTTTCTACTTTGTACGCAATACTTCTATAAACCTAAAATGAAGTGAGTTGTAAAAGGAAAAAAACACATATGAAGGGGTTTCAAAAAGTTCAGTGAAAAGTGGAATTTACAAGTAGAAAGAAAATGTTTTGAAAATGATGATGGCAACATATGCACAAATATGATGGATACAATTTATGTATGGATTGTTATAAGAGTTGTAAGAGACCCCACTACAATCTTTTTTAATCTGTAGCACAATTTTTTTTAAAAAAGAAAAGTGGAACTTTAAGATCATAAAATTCTTCCATGAACTTTTTTAAAGCTTCTACATATTTCAGTTCAAAAATCTAGTATTGCTCCTCAACGACGTATCTGTTTGTTTTTGTGAGTTCCTGTCTCATGAAGGCCCTTTTACCCAGAATAGAATAGCTCCATAAACTGAGACTGTTGGAAAGAAAACGGGCAGGCCTGTCTTTCAAGGAACTTTTGGATAGGTTCGAACCACCAACCTTTTGTCTGATACTCAAGCACTTAACCATTTTGGCCACCTATTTACAAATGACAAAACTGTTCATACTGGCACTTTGCACCTCCAGCAAAGATATATTCAATGTTATTGTGGATAGAACTTTCATGTTTCTTTGTCCTTGAAGTAGAAGATTCATGAGGGTACAGATCCCCTTAATTTTGTACACTACAAAAAGAAAAACATCGAGTATGTCGTTTGCTTAATAGAATAAAATGAACGGGGGGCGGGGCGGGGGGAGAAGCTCAATAGCATATTCTACGAACATAAGTAAATGTATGGGGAAAGGAGGGCAGGAGAAAATGTTCTAAAAATTGACTGTGGGAATGATTGTACAACTCTTCTTGTTAGGACTGAACTACTGAATTGTGTGTTAAGTGGATTAAATGCCAATATAACAGTTACAGGGGAAAAAAGGTAAGTTAATGTAAAGAATATACTAGTCTTAATTTTTCAACTAATGAATCTATTGGTCCCATATGTGTACTGCCGCTATGTGCAAGCGAAGTGAATTATGTGATGTGGCTCTTGTAGAAATCCTGTCTTGGTTACTGTCCTCAAGACATTTCAATTACTGGGGCCCCAGGTGCCAAGACTCGCTCCACAGGGTTTGCAGCAGCAGATGGCCATACCTGTCTTCAATGGTATCCTCCGATGGGCTTAAATAATCAAACTTTTGCTAATAGTTGAGTGCTTAACAGTTTGCACCACCCAAATGGAGATATTTTAAAATAAAACATAATACTGGTCTATCCAAAAAATGTGTTAGTCATATGAGTATTCTTCTTAAACAACAAATATTTCTTAATAAACTATAGTACTGACCCTGACCATTATGTTGTAAAGAGTAATATAGAAATGAGGTTCAGTTATGAAAACAGTCTCAAATTTACATTCCTTAAGTTTGATCTTACGCATGCCTTATATCAAGATCCCTGGTGGCATAGTGGGTTCTATGTTAGTGTTCAGTAGTTCGAAGCCAACTGACGCTCTGGGGGAGAAAAATGAGGCTTCTTGCTCACAAAGATTTACAGCCTCAGAACTCACAGGGGCAGTTTTACTCTGTCCTATAGGGTTACTATGAGTCTAAAGCAATTCGATGGCAATCTTTTTGACCCTTTATATACTGAAAAAGTCAGAGCGTTCTAAAAGCACTACACAGATTTCTGTAAATTACTTAATAAATTAAAGATTTTCTAAAATGAGCCTAAGATCTTATCTAAGATTAAAAGAAGTGTATTATTTTTATTCAAAAATCTATAAAATTAAGGGGGCAGTGAAAGTTTACCATGCAAAGGTGAGCCAGATGGGCTGCTTGACAGGCCGGGAACAGGACTACAACGACCCCCTTGTTTAGATGTCAGTTCTTGTTCAATTTCTTCCAGCCCAGCACTTTTCTGGAAACGGCTCATGCGATTCACTACTCGTGGTGACATATGTGTACGGACACAAGGCTGGCCGCCATAAGGGTTGATGGGGAAAACATGGGAAGTTCCCCGGAGCGTACTGACCACCACCCAGCGACAGTCATGACTGAAGCAGATATCTTGTACCTGAAAAAGAGATAAAGACACAAAAATGTATGACACAACTGCATTAGCAGATAAGAAAGTAGTACCTCACTGGCCGGTTTACCAAAGGCCAGGTTACAAATAAGACATTGTAGCCTACCGTTGTATTTGCTCATCTTTGGCTCTCTATGTGCCTTGAGTTATTATATTTGTAAAGTGACAACACCAAAAACACCAATTCTTACGGATTGTTAGGAATTAATAAATTAAAGGTAAAGCACTGACAATTCTTCAAAGCTCTGCCTAAGGTTTTCAGTGGCTGCATCCTCTGAAGTGGGGAAGCCAAGTTCTTCTTAGTCTGGAAGCTCTGCTGAAACCGGTTTGCTTTGGGGGACCCTGCTGGCACCTGAAATACCAGTGACACAGCTTCCTTCCAGCATCACAGAAACACACAACCCACCACAGTACAACCAACTGACAAGACAAGTGGCCTGCTGCACAAGACCCCCGGGGAGTACTGAAGAGCAAGGATGTCACTCTGAGGACCGACGTGCGCCTGACCCAAGCCATGGTATTCTCCATTGCCTCCTATGCATGTGAAAGTTGAACCTTGAATAAAGAAGATCACAGAAGAATAAATGCAGTTGGATTGTGATGCTGGTGAAGAAAAGTGAAAGTAGCATGGACTGCTAAAAACACAAATAGGTCTGCACTGGAAGAAGTAAGGTCAGAGAGCTCCTTAGAAGCAAGTATGGCAAGACTCCGTCTTACATACTTTGGACATCTTGTCAGGAGAGGCCAGTCCCTGGAGAAGGACATCATGCTTGGAAAAGTGGAGGAGCAGCAAAAAAGAGGAAGTTCCTTGAGGAGAAAGATTGGCACAGTGGCTTAAGTGAGCTTAAGCAAAGGAACAATTGTGAGGATGGCACCGGGCCATGCAGTGCTTTGTTCTGTTGTGCACAGGGTCACTATGGGTCGGTGCGACCTCAATAACACTTCACAACAACAATAAACAGGCAATGCACGCAGAATAGTGCCTGATCCTTACTAAGCATGTACAAAGATAACAGCTATTATTATCCAACTAACAACAGTTTGCCTTTTGGGTAGAAGAGGTGCAATGGTAAAACTGTAGTTTTCCATATGGAAAAATAGGTTAAAAGTGAATATTGAAGAGCATGAACTACGGTTAATCACATAAGTTAATGCCCTGTAAACTTGTTGAAATTTCAATTGTTTTATTATATGTATTTACCACAATAAAAATGCCCACACGTTTTAAAAGTAGAAAAAAGAGAAAGGGCTTGACAAAGAAAACTGTAAGCAGAAGCCAAGGAAACAGAAATAGAATACCAGAAGAATTTAATAGACTATGAAAAGCACTTCTATATACCAGAAGAATCAAATATACGATAGAAAATATCTTTAGCCTTACTAAGTAGTGTTCCATCTACAGTGAGACTGAACCATATTTTCTAGCCTTTTGCTAGAACATGTGTAATCAAGACCACAGCATGATCTGTCAATGAAAAAGAGATTTCCCCCTTTGATTTTGAGGATACTTCTGATATGCGATGTTAGTAATAATTACTATCTAAGCAGGAGCACAGAAGTAACCTAGGCTGCATATTAGAAAACTGCTAATAGAGAAGTGTGTCTGCTCTCTGCCCTGTAAGGTCCATCAGCACACACAAATGGGTGGAGAAGGGCTACTGAAGATATTACCTGTCAAGAGAACCAGCGAAAGGTAATCCCTTAAGTGACATTACGGAGACGAACAAGCTGCTGACTTACAAGATGAACAATGAGAGTGTAGCTGCTCTAGCAAATGAACTGGATGCGTTTTCAAACAACATTACGAACAAACCAGACTACATAGGCTGGCAAACTCGTAATAAAGTTATGACATCACCTGCTTGATTTCCGAACTTCATTTTGGGAAGATATCATCTTCGAGTAAACATTTTCTCAACATAAAATGGGGTGGAAGTTTGTTCTCCGGGATAAATGCCATGGTAAACAACATCTCTGCTCTATTTATTATGATACACAAAGGTAAACAAGTGCAGGAACCGCTCACTATCCAAACTGTAATCTCAAATTTAGGAAACAAACAGATTTCAATCTTTTTCTTTTTTTAAACTCTCACTATTCACTAGGTGGAACTCTGGAACTAAGTGGATATGTACATCAAAGTATACACTAGTGGGTCAAATTTCAAAATACAATTACACTTACGCATGGGCTATCAGACTGATAAGCACTGGTTTCTTTTACAGATTGACCTATAGAAGGAGGGCCAAATAGTAAATGTTTGCAGGTGAATAAGCAACATCATGAATACTACGTAGGTACTTTTAATACCAGAGAGAAAACTTATTTCCATAACATTGTTACTTATGACATGCAAAATAAAATAACATTGTTATTTTTTTATATTAGATGTCTATTAATGAGAAGACGATGATCTCATTTTAAAGGGGATAATATTTCATTTAATTGGGGTTCTAAGTTAATGTGCTCTTTCATCAGACAGATTACAGTGCATATATATGAAAATCAGTCCTGGTTTCTGGGTAATATGAAAACAAGTTAGTTTGTGCATCCGTATTTTAAACCATTATCATGTTGGCCAAATTGTAGTGAGAAACACAGGCCTCAAAGTAGACAGTAGCCCTGAAGTCTAAACTCAATTTTTTTTAAAAAATGAGCCTGGTGGTGTAGCCACTGTTACAAGGTCAGAAGTTCAAAACCACCAGGTGCTCATCAGGAGAACGAGCTTTCTATGCCCAAATAGTTGTAGTGTCAGAAACTCATAAAGGCAGTTCTACAAATAGTTGTAGTGTCAGAAACTCATAAAGGCAGTTCTACCCCGTCAACTCCATGGCAGTGAGTTTAGTGTTGCTATTTTTATGTTGTTGTTTTCTTCGGGGAGGTGGGGATTAAAACATCTTTAGGTCAGCATCTCTCCCTACAGATTCCTCTTCTAATTGCACATAAAACCTTCCCATGGAAAGAACCCATGGAAATAAGGTAAGAACATGAAACCAATTAATTAAAAGTGAATGTAATTATTTTAAATTACACTAGGAAATTTTTAAAAATTCACACACGCACAGTAATCCCTCTAACCAGAAACAACTACCTCTTAATATTTTGAAAGCAACCTTCTAGAGTTAGATCTCAGTGCATACATGAATTTCTCTGTGTGCGTGTGTGAGAGAGAGAGAGAGAAACACACCAATCCCCTGCTGTATAGGTGATTTCGGCTCACAGGACACACTGTCCCAAGGGGTTTCCAAGGTTGTAAATGGTCACATCTTTCTCCTACAGAACAGCTGGTGGGTTCAAACCAGGGAACTTTCAGTGAGCAGCTGGGAGTTTAACCACTGAGCCATAGGGCTCCTAATCACACAACGTGAAGAGGCTATTAAAGGGAAAATAGGAAGAATTTTCCCATAAACCTTTTGAAGCCCTCTCATATATACATACAGACACATGACCACATACAGGTATGCTTTTATATCAGAGAGCTATATATGTTATTCTGTAACTTCTAATTTTCATCGGTGTGTCAATAAATAAAAATCTATAGTAGAATTCTAATTTTTACATTTAAACTTTAAATGGCTACATTTCATTCTTTTCTGAGGGAAATGATAATAAATCAAACCTCTACTAAAACACACAGTTATTTACAATTTTCACTTTTTTAAAAAAATGTGGCCACTTTCAGGGACCTTCATGATTTCAATTATCCTTAAGGCTCATAACATGGCTTTACTGTTATTGCCAGCTTCACTTTTCTTTTTTTTAAGGCTGAGCTAAGTATTTGAAACTTTGGCATTCTTCTTGTTACAGCATATACATATATATTTCCATGTGAATTACATAATAACCCTCTAACAGACCTGTATCAATTAAGATTAGAAACTAACCATTCTGAAATGTAACCGGCAAACTTAAATGTTATGAAAACACAGAGAAATAGTGCTTTTACATCTTACATATCATAATAGGATCTACCTCATATTTGGCTCTCTATGGCCATGGGAGAAATTGTTAACCACCTCGTGCCTTTGTATAGTGAGAATAGCAACAATGCCTATTCATGGATTGTTAGGAATTAATAAATTATACGTAAATCACTTAGAACAGTGCCTGATATGTAATACGCACTGTAAAAAGATGTTTACTATTATTAGCATTATTACCATAATAAATCTCAAATCGGTCCAAATGTCAGTGCTATCAACAGACTATGCCACAATCATCTGTTCCTCAGGCTACTACACTAATTTGTTTACTAGACTCTTAAATTTTAGACACCCTATAAACAACAAAAGTAGCCCTGGTGGTGCAGTATTTACACATTAGGATGCTACCTGCAAGGTCAGCAGTTGCAAACCACCAGCCGCTCTGTGGGGAGAGAGATGATGCTTTGTTCCTATAAAGAGGTTCAGTCTTGGAAATGGGGAGTTCTGTGCTGCCCTATAACTATGGGTTGCTGTGAGTCAGAAGTGACTCCATGGAAGCAAGATAATCAACCAAAGAAAACATAGATACGTTGGAGTGCTTAAAAATAAAAGTGTTTGTATATTAAATGACACAATAAAGATCGTAAAAAGACTATTTTCTCTGGAAGAGTGCCACAGAAAATACTGCAAATCATACATCTGATAAGGGTATAGTATCTAGAATAAGTAACAATCCTTATAATGGAGCAATATGAAGACAATAAACTAATTTAAACTGAATATGTAGTTGAATCCACATTTCCCCAAAGACTACAAAGAAATGATCAATGTTGCAATTGCTGTTAGCGGCCACTGAGTCAGCCCCTGACTCTTGGCAAAGCTACATACAAATAAGTGAAACTCTACGTGGTCTTGAGCCATTCCCATGACTAGATGCAGACCAGACCCTTGTGATCATATATACAGGTTTGGGATTTTATGCTTGTTTTTTTATTTTTAGATATTTTTCTATGGTTTGGGTCAAAGTTTACAGAGAAAAGTAGTTCCCATCTTCAAGTCTATACA